CCACCATCCAGGCTGACCCTGGTGTAGACATCACACACCTCCTGGGTGGGCCAGACCCTCCTCGTTGAGCACGCACACACTCACTCTCACAGCTTGCAACCCACACTCACAGGGGGAAAGGGCGGGGTGGGGGGCATCAGAGCTCTGGCCCGGCCTCACCTGTCCCCAGGGTCCCCCTAGTTACCTTAGGAGCAGTGCTGCCTGCTAGCCTGAGATGTCGACACAGGCTCCTCATGACTTTCCTCATGACTTTCCCCCTAGGCTACCATGAAGGCCCAACAACCCCAAATTTACATGTTCCATGTATACCACCTCTATTGTGTATTTGGGAAATTCCTAAAATGACCACTTATTTGGTTCCTTCGCTGGGAATCCCCCCGCAGGATTAGCAACAGAGGCAGCAGGCAGGTGAGGGCATCGGGAATTGAAGGGCCAGGGAAGTGAATGGTTTGGCTAAAGTGTTTCCACTGGGGAGATGATTTTCTGCAAGTAAAAGGAGGCCAGGCCTATGAAGAGACTGGACTTCAAAGCATTAGACAACTTGGGTGAAATGAAACAAACTTTATTAGTATTTCCACAATGAACCAGAAACCTGAATGGAAAGAAAATGAAACCTCAACTTGAAACAATTAAAACCAAAAGATTTTGAACAACAAGACAAGACCCAGTTGTCTTGGGTGGGGACACGGTAGAAGCTAAACAAGGCATGTGGCTAGGGAGGAGGGCGAGGACAGGTTTGGGGTCAGCAGTGCTGAGTGGAGGCACCAATTGCATTGGATGTGGACAGGCAGGTCCAGGGCCATAGGCTGTGTCCTTGGAGGGGTGGTGTCAGGTGAGCACCCTCTATTTTGCTGCAGGATCCCTGCAGGGGCTGGTTCCCCAGGCAGGGCTGCTGCTGGCTTAGAACCCTCTCTTGAACCTTCAGGATGTTGGCCAGAGGTGGCTGGTCATTCTCTGGTTCCTCCTGCAATACTCCTGTTGCCTCAGAATCCTCAAAGAAGTGTGCAGGATCCCAAGTCAGAGGCCTTAATCAGAGACATCCTGCAGGGGAGGAGGCAGAAGAAGGACCAGAGGGAGGGAGGGAGGAGCACAGGGGACTGCGGTGATGGTGCACGGGTGCCTTGCAGAAGGAAACTCTAGGGGACTGTATCTGATGGGGTGAGGGGGAAGCAAAGAGTGTTTGCAAGTGAAAAATGATGTAAAAAATAAAAAAAGAAGAATATCAAAAACAATACAATCAAGCCTGCGGGCTCCTGCTCCTGTCTTGGCTGCCCCAGCAGTGGGGGTGTGAACTGCCCACACTGGGCAGCTCCTGAAGCATCCTGGCCTATACCTGTCTCCCGCAGTGGGGCTGGTATGAACACACCAATGCCAGCATGCCCTGCTGGGGCCTGGCTAGGGCCTGGCTCCCCACAAACTGGTGGTGTGAGTTTGTGCCCACCAGGTTGTCCTGCAGTTTGTAGGTCCTGACCTGGCTTCCCCAACAGGGCTGGTATTAGTTCAGCATCTTGGAGACCTCCTGGGGAACTCTGGGGAGTTTCAGGCTGACTGTACAGGGGTTCAGTGACCTCGGAGGCACCGGGATCATCCTGGGCATTTTCTGCCTGACTCAGTAGGCCTGCTTGGGCTCTCCTGTTGCTCTGGAACCGCATATGTAGAAACAGATTCTCCTGTCCCTTCAGGACCCCTTGTGACTATTGGCGTCCAACCCGCCAGGATAGTGGGCCCTTGGGGGTCTCGTTCCCTACATTTGGCAACTGCAAGTCCCAGGTCATACTGCTTAGGGTCCAAATCCAGCCCGTGTGGTCTCCTCCCATGGCACCTGACCCTACCCCTCCCAGTCAAGCCAGGGCACCAGCCTAGGCCACTCGCACTTGGGCTGCTCCTCCATGGGCTTTATGGACTCCAGACAGTTCCTAAGGACATGTGCAGCAAGCTCAATGTTGGGGGTGTGATTCAAACTGGGCTCTGCTCTGGGTGGGATCCCACACTAGGCTGAGGGAGGCCTGTCGCTGAAATGCACTCCCTGGGCCTCCTCAGTTTCCTGGACACAGAGCACCTTCTGGGAGCAAGCAGACACACCTGCTGGGTAGCACCGAGCTGGGGCAAGAGGGCGCGGCCATGACTCTCAGGGTCCACCACCATCCAGGCTGGTCCTGGTGTAGACATCACGCACCTCCTGTGTGGGCCAGATCCTCCTTCCTTGAGCATGCACACACTCACTCTCACAGCTCGCACACCCGCACTCATGGGGGAAAGGGAGGGGTGGGGTCATCAGAGCCCTGGTGTGGCCTGACCTGTCCCCAGGGCCCCCCTGATATCCTTAGGGTCAGTGCCGCCTGCTGGCCTGAGACGTCGTCACAGGCTCCTCATGCCTTTCAGCAGAGGGTGACATGCGTTTCAGGGACCTCTTTTTGGGTCACTGTGGGGAGACCTGGGCATACAGCAAGAAAGCATGGTGCCTGGACCAGGAATACCAGTCACGTGAGCCGGGTAGAGTTTGTGTTCAGAACCCAGCTGCCTGGGGACCAGCGTTCTGAGTTCTGTGCCGTGTCATCTCATGGAGGTGATGTCACTTCCTGGGTCCCCTTCTCTGGACTTCCTGCTCAGACAGATGCCCCCCCCCCATCCCTATGGCTACCTGGGCCCTTCCTGTTCACCCTCCATGCCAGGCCCAGTCCACAACACTGACAGCAGCGCAGCCTCCCCAAGCCCTTGGATGGCGAGTCTTAGCCAAGGCCCCTGCTGGGCACTCTGGCCTCTGGCTGCTGACCTGGCTCATCCTCCCTGCCAGGGAGCAGGCCCGGCAGGATCAGCAACTCCAAGCTTCTGTCCTCCATGGGCCTGGAGGAGCTCCAGAGTATGGAGCCTCTCCCTGGGGCAGTCCTGGGGAGTGGGCCACTCCTCTCTGCTGCCCTTGGAGGGTGGTTGGTGTCAGGCTCACAGCACTTGGAGGGTTCCCCCTTGGGGAGGGCACCTGCACATGCCTCACCCAGGCTCGGTCAGCCCTGCTGGGGGCAGAGTCATCTCCCACCCGGTGTGCCTGTTCTCCTGAGAGGTGGAATCCACCCAAACTCAGCCCTGCTCCTCTCTGGCCGTGCCCTACAGGGGTCTTGTGGGCCCGAATCAAAGGGCCAGAGCCACAATATCCTGCGAGTGCCGGCCACAGTGTTCCCAGGGCGCCCTCCTTGCTCGCAGATGTCTGCTGACCCTGTCCGGCAGTGTTATTTACTGAGGGCTGGGTTACGGCTGGATGATGAGGCCCGAGGCATGGGGTGTCCACTCCTACAGTGATTAGCTCCTTGCTGTCCTGTCCACGCTAGCTGACTCTCCCTTTCTTCTGTCTCTGTGTTCCTCTGACTCTGATTTTCTCTCTGCCTTTTTGGTCCGTCCTCAGCTCCTTCTCTCTGTTTGTCCCGGTCCTTCTCTTCATGCCCGTTTCTGCCCCAGTGTTCTGTGTCCCCCTCTGTTTCTCTCTGGGTTCCCCGAGTGGTGCTGACTCTAGCTCAGCTCCCCTTAGGTGATCAGACAGTCCCCAGGCCCTGTGGCATCCCCGTGAGAACAAGTTGGAGACGCCAGGGTTCCTCTGCCGGTCGGGCAGAGTTCATACAGCTGAGGGGCTGTGGGGCAGGGTTGCTGGGAGGGGAGGACTGGGTGTGCCCTGTGCTCTCCAGTGAGGGCAGTGAGAGTGAGTGAGGGGATGGCTGCACCCCATGGGGACAGAGGCCCTTCCTGGCTCCAGGGTGCCTGAATGTTGATGAAAAAGACCTGGACGGCCACAATCCATGTTGCGTGTGAACAAACTGAGCCCTGGGAGGAGGCCCTGAATTTGGCACTGGAGTCTGAGGTAAGGTTTTGTTGATGGAACCTCCATCTAAACACATGGGCTGAGCTATCACGAAGCACAGAACCTGAACAGAGGGCCTGCTGGGAAGCACGGGACAGCTCTGTGCTCTGGCTGTTCTGCCCACGGTCCAGGCACCAGCCCTGAGGGCTGCTGATCCAACGCTGGCCATGTGGAGCCACTGTTTGCAGGGCTTGATAACAGGGTTCAGCAGAAACATGACGCAAGAGGCGAGTTATCTTCAAATATTAACCACTGGATGTTTCCGGATCTGCAGACAATCCAGCACTATGTGCTGCCATCTACACGTCACAAGGTTTACCTAATGACATACAACCTGATATCAAGACATCTATAATTCAACAATGATCATTTGTGTCCTAATAATTATAATTCCATAATAGACAACAATCTAGTCAATGAAATTGTAAAGTTGGATATCCCATTACAGCTCCACTCTGGATGACACCCTCTTCCTAAACTACATTCTTCTATGGACATATGTTCGTAACATGGACAGTTGGATACAATAAAAATACTGTTCTGATTACACTGATATAGTGATATAAATCTGATTTGATTAGCTATTAGTCATTTACCCTACTCTACTGTATACCTAAAATTCAAGAGATGGCAAATAATCATTTTTCTTTGGGTGTAGAAGAACTGGGGTGTAGGCCAGAGGTGTGGAGGGATTTCAGGATTCAGCAGAGACAGAGTGTGATTCACAACAGGCAGATTGACTGAATTACACCACTGGGGGGAACTGTGGGCAAGACATGAGGGGTCTGCTGCACTATAGATGGGTTTGCTTCCTGGCCTGGGCTTGACTCAGGATTCAGCCATGGCAGTGCTGAGACTTTACCCCTAGGCCACCACGGAGGTCCAACCAACCCAAATAGACAGATACCATGTATGCTATCTAATGTGTGGTTGGGATGATCCCAAAGTCACCATTTATTAGGTTCCTTCCTTGGGATCCCCAGGCAGCAATGGGAACAGAGGTGGCAGGCAGGTGAGGGCATCATGGCCTGAGAGGGCTGGGCAGTAGTGGTTTGGCTAAATGGCTCCCACTGAGGAGTTGTTCATCTGCAAGGCCACAGTGAGGAGGAGGCCAGCCCTGTGAAGGGAATGGACATCAAAGGAGAAGACAACTTGGGTGAAGAGAGAACAAGTGTATTAGCATTTGTACAGTGAACAAGAAATCTTGGAGGAAATACATAAAAATAACTTGAAATGAATTAGGAGACCAAGAGTTGGAACTACAAGAGAAGGGCCAGGTGTCTGTGGGTGGAGGCCTTGGAGAAGTTAAAGAAAGACATGTGGCTAGGGAGGTGGAGGAGGAGAAGTTGGGGGTGGAGCAGTGCTGAATGGTCAGTTGTCCCTGATGTGGACAGGCAGTACATGGTGAGGGGCTGGGTCCCTGGAGGGGTGGTGTCAGGTGAGCACCCTTGGCTTGTGCTATGAATCCCTGCAGGGCCTGCTTCCATAGGCAGAACTGCTGTTCCTTTAGCTCCCTCCCTTTAACCTGCAGGAAGCTTGTCGGGGCTGATCCTCCAGCAGGTCTGGTGTGAGCTCAGGATCGCCTGCACAGGCTGCATTCTCTGGGGCATGGCCTTGCTCTTCCAGCGAGGGTGGGGTGAGCTCAGTGCCATCCTCATGGGGTGCAGCATCCTGGTCATTGTCTGGTTCCTCCAGCAGCACTCTTCTTGCCTCAGAGTCCTCAAAGAAGTGTGTGGGATCCTAAGTCAGAGGCCTTAATCAGAGACACCCTGCAGGGGAGGAGGTAGAAGAAGGACCAGAGGGAGGGCGGGAGGAGCACAGGGGACTGAGGTGATGGTGCACGGGTGCCTTGCAGAAGGAAACTCTAGGGGACTGTATCTGAGGGGGTGGGAGGAAGCAAATAGTGTTTACAAGTGAAAAGTGAAGTTAAAAAATAAAAAAAGAAGAATATAAAAAAAAAATACAATCAAGCCTGCAGGATCCTCCCCCTGTCTTGGCTTCTCCAACAGTGGGGGTGTGAAATGCCCACACTGGGCAGCTCCTGAAGCATCCTGGCCTATACCTGTCTCCCGCAGTGGGGCTTGTTTGAACACACCACTGCCAGCATGCACTGCTGGGGCCTGGCTAGGGCCTGGCTCCCCACAAACAGGTGGTGTGAGCTTGTGCCCACCAGGTTGTCCTGCAGGTTGCAGGCCTGGCCTGGCTTCCCCAGCAGGGTCTGGTGAGTGACACCTGAACGCAGGGGGGCTAAGGCCAGTCCCACCCACTGCCTCTCTGAGTCCCCAGTTGCGCCTGGGTGGGTACAGCCTGGTCTTCCTGTCCCCAAAATACAGCCATAGTCTGCTAGAGGTAGAGGGATGGGGTGTCCTCAATGTCGGGGGCTGGGCTCGGGTCTGCAGCCTCACCGGGCCCCAGGCCAGCTTTCATAAGAGCGCCCCACCTGCTGCAAGAAGCCCAAGGGGATCAGAGGGTTGGCAGTGTGTTAACTGAGTCCCTCCTGGTGCCGTCACCCCATGACATCCCTTGCCTATGTTCTCATTGACCTCTGAGGGGATCCTCATGATCTTCTGGTGGGATCCTGCCAGGAGCCTCTGATACAGATAAGAAAATCGCGGCTCAGAGAGAGGGAGCAGCTCGTCCCAGAGCCACTGCCGATCAGATAACCGAGTCAGCATTTGAAACAAAGTCCGCTGCATTCCCAAGCCAGTGGCCTGACGTCCATTATTGCCAAACCCCAAGAAACGCTGCGGAAGACAACCCTTAGGTCCCCTGCCCTCAGATAAGGGATCTGGGTGCAGAGGGGTGTTATGATTCACCCAGGGCCATAAAGCAGGGAAGAGTGGCAGGCCGCTCTGAACTCTAGTCCTGCCGTAATCTTGATGCCACAGGGGGACTACCCCTGCCGTGCCAGCCTTGGGGAGGGTGCCCTCTCTTTGAGGCTCAATGTGAATCTCTGCTGGGACAAACGTGTCCTTCACATTGTGGGCTGCTAGGTTCCGGGCCCCAGAAGTGGCATCATCTCAGGGCTGTCACCGTGAAAAGGGCTGTGACTGGGCAAGGTGCCAGGGAGGCGCTGGTTGTCCCTTCCCCTCCACAGCCACAGGATAAAGGGTTTAGGGGAACTTGAGGAGCCTGTCCCTCCCTGGGTGGCACTTGGGGCAGATCACCCCAACTTGATGAAACAACTCGGTCCTCATGAAGTCTGAGGGAGAGGGTGTGAAAGGGGCCGGGGGCCGGCGTCAGGACAGCTTGGGAGGCAGAGTGTCTCAGGGACAGTAGCTTCTAGAACGGTGGTTCTCAATTGTTCACCAGGGAGCATTTGCAAAGCCTGGGGACATTTGAGGTGGCCACAGCTTAGCGGCTGAGTGCTCCTCAACCTACTGGCCAGGCTGGTTAGGTAGGGGCCAGGGAAGCTGCCCAACATCCTACAGGGCAGAGAACACCTCCCACAATTGAGCATCATCTGGCCCCAAACGTCATCAGTGTTAAAGTTGAAAACCCCTTTTCTCATCAATTCCAAAGAGCACCTGCACCCCTATGTTTATAGCAGCACTATTTACAATAGCTAAGATTTGGAAACAGCCCAAATGCCCCAAAATAGATGACTGGATCAAGAAGATGTGGTACATATACACCATGGAATATTACTCAGCATTCAAAAAAGATAAACACATGCAATTTGCAGCAACATGGATGGCGCTGGAAGGGATCATGCTCAGCGAAATAAGCCAGAAAGAAAAAGAAAAATACCGGATGGTCTCACTCATAGCAGGAATCTAGAAAACTTAAATAAGGGACCAGGAAAATGAATAACTGCAAGAAAGTGAAAATCAAAATCAACAAAAAACTATGAACCAGAGACACTTTTTGGGGGGTGGGGGGCGGGAGGGGAGGGATTGGGGTCAGAATGGGGGGGTTGCAATTGTATGGGGAATATAAAAATAAAATTTATTATTAAAAAAAAAAAAGAAAAACCCTTTTCTAAAGCAACCTCCATGCATCCTTTGCCTCCTCCAGCCTGGGTGGCTCCTGCAGCTGTGCTGGGCTGCCACTTGCCAGAGGTGCTCTGCCAGGTGTGTATGTGCGGGGAATGGGAAGGGGTTCAGTACCCCAAATCCTTTATTAAATTTTATCATATTACTGTCCTGCTCGGAACCCTCCTGGGGCTCCCAGTGCTCCTCTGACAAAATTCAGACCCCTCTCCGTGGCTGCAGGGCCTGGCCCGGCTGACCTTCCAGCCCACTGGCTGCCTCCCCCAGTGCACACCTCTAGGCCTGTTGTCCTTAAGCACAGCCTGGCACTGGCGGGAATGTTCCTCCTTGCTCTCCTCAGGGCGGGCTCCTCTCTTCTCCTGTGTCTCCTCAGTGGGGCCTCTCCCGACCCCCCTGTGAGAGGCGGCCAAGCTCCCACCCCGCCCTTGTCCCGATCACGCTGGCCGGCCTCACCATCTGCTGGATGGACGCTCCACAGGGGCAGGCTCTTCGCTGGTTTCGCTCCCCGCATACCAAGCATTCTGGCACGTTTTTATAACTGCTAGTATCCGCCTGAATCCTTATGTGAATTTTCTTATTTTACAGCTTTCCTGTCTGCCTCCCCAACTACAGAATGAGCACCGTGAGGGCAGGAGCTGTCTGGCTGGCTGTCTAGTTCCCCAGCACCTGGAACAACAGCCAGCACGGGGCAGGTGCTTGACAAAAGGAGCTCCTCAGGAGTTGGGGTTCCCCACCCCTGCCACTATCCTTCCTGCCTCGGGCTGAAGAGTGCCAGTTTTGCCATCGCCAAGGGAGAGAAACACTGTCCCCCCGAAACAGGGTGACACAGTGCACCGGCAGTTAAGAACATGATCTGGGTTTGCCTCCATGAACACTGGCTGTGTGAAGGCAGCAAGTTGCTTAACTGCGCGGAGCCTGCCTTCTCCTCCATGGAAAGGGGATAAGAATAGAACAGACTTGATAGCAATGCTGGGGGCATCTGGCATGCAGTAAGAGGTGAATAAATGCTGGCCAATATATTTGATAGAAGCGATGCTCACAGCCCATCTGCCTGCCCCAGAGAAAATGACAAAGCTTTGGCATAGAGGCTGACAAGCACTCCTGTCCCCATTGGCAGCCCAGACAATGCTCTGCCCTTCCTGGTGACCGCCAGATGTGCAGAAGCTCGAAACTCACATTCTCGTGCAGGAAACAGAGATACTTGTGGCCCAGGGAGCCCTGAGGCCAGCTCTGGAGCTTGCCTAGGTCGAGGGTGGACAGTGAGATCCGGGGATGTACCCTGTAGACAGAAGGCAGCACTCAGGTATTGGGAGGGGGCAGAAGAAGCAGACAAAAGGTCCAACTAGAGCAAGGCCACGAGAGGTGACGGAGAAGCAAGGGGGCTGCAAGCCCTAATGGGACGCCTGTTACTGGCAGGCCGGCGGCAGGAACTGAGCAGAGGAGCACGAGCCAAGGACATGGCTCCTGCTTGCGGGCATGTGGGCAGGGTAGTCAGAGGCACTGCCATGGGGGTGGGGGATACAGCTAGTACATGTTATAGGAGCTCAGTGAAGGCACAGAGCTCTGTGGAGGCCTCTGCATGGCACTACCCAGGGATTGTCATGCTGTCTATATGAATGGCACCAGTGGAGTCGGGCAGTGCCCAGCCTGTGCAGCACCATGACCAAAGTATCAGGATGAGCTCCCCAGAGGAAACAGTCTGATACAATATGACTCCAGAGAGCAGGATCTCCTGAGAATGCCAAGACCCAGGCAGGGCTGGCACCTACTGTAGGATCTGGGCACCCTCTGGATCCCTCCTCATCGGGTGTCTGAGGAGCTTCAGGGCATGGACTCCATAGGTCTCCCCTAGAACTGCAACCATGTCTGAAAGGAAAGAAATGGGAACAGATGGAGGGTATGATCCCACATAAGTTACCTGGCCTAAGGTGGCTCTGGCTAGCAGTGTGCTAAAGGGTTTGTAAATCAGAATATCACATCTCTATCAACAAGTACAGGCTTTGGCACCACTGTTGGGTTGAGCCCAGGTGCAATCTAAGTGAACTTGTGCCAACCTCTTTGCATTTGCAACTTCTTCAGTGTCCTATGGGGTTAATGTGCAAGCTCAACAACATCATGCATACAAAACAGCACAGTGAGCAGCCAAAAGGAGTGCTCAGTGAGTGCTTAATAGGACCATTTTTAACAGGAGCAAAGCGAGAGAATGCTAGGCTGTTCCATTCACACCTCAGCAAGCGTTTATGGAGCATATATAAGGTATCAGGCAAAATCCCATGTGACGCTGACACAGTAGGACACGCTCTCTGTCTTCAAAGTTTAATTTCCAGTGGGATGTTCTAATTTTGAAAGTTTTGGCAAGGGAAGACAGGGAAGGAAAGACAAGAACGTCAGAATAAGTTTAAAGGGGGGCTTTATTGCACTCCCGGGCAAACTTCACAGACCCAAGGTGGGGGTCGGTGAAGCCGCGCCTATTGTCAGGGGAAGGCAGGTGTTTATGGGATGGGGAGAGGGAAGCCGGGCTTGCAGGTAACGAGGAACAGTTGTTTTCTGATGGTATCAGCAGGTCCTCATTCTCAGCCTTAGGTGGCTTCCTACCAGATGCCTTTTCGCCTTAGTAACTCTGGTTCCCGCCAGACCTTTCAAATTCGATGGGTGCTTACGAATCATCTGTTTAGTACAGAGGTTCTCCATGTGGCTGGGCAGCAGAAAAGTAGTTTAAAAAGTTTTCCTGCCGGAAAGTAGTGTAAAAAGGCAGGAGCTCAGATCCACTGTCCTTCCTCTCCCCTCCCCACACTGGCAAATTAGGATTTGAGAAAGCCCACCAGGAAGCCCACCTGGGGCAGGAACGCAGGAGCCTGCCTAGAAAATTCAGACAATGAACCCCTCCCCGCCCTAGAATCTTTTCCCGCCCTTGCAAACCCAGTCTCCCACCTGACCTCTCCTCACCCTGTAAAGCCTGCCTCCCCCTGGCAACGTGTGAGACTCCACACAGGGGTCCCCGCCTTGGGTCTTTGAATTTCACCTGGGGTGCAATAAATTTTCCCTTCCTTTGGGAAAGCTTGGCGGGGCTCTTTTCTTTACCACGCCAAACCTTTCATCTTGGTGCCTGAAACCCGGAAGGCTGTGTCCCCTGGCACTGGGGCCTCCTTCCCATTCCTGGGACCTCTCCTCTCCATTGCAGATGCCTCAGCCACCACCGGCCTTGACTCTTGGGGTGAGTCACCTGCCTGACCCGCCTTCCTAGGAGGCCCTCGCCTCTGGCTATTCATCTCCTCACCTAACCCCTCCCTCGGTTGGCTGTTCCTTAAGCCATGGTGGGTCCACGTCAGCCGACTCCAGTTACACATAGACCCCGGGTTTGGGGACGGCCTTCCAGACTAGGTGCCCGAATATTAGGCCACAAAGGAGTAGTGGAGATGTCCCTCTTGCTTGTTTGCCCCGTACTAAAGGCCAGGACCGAATCGTGGGATGCCGCGATTCTGTGCCTGCGCGCACCCCCACCCCCTCCACCCAGACGGCCAGATCAGGTTCGTGGGATGCTGCGTTCCTGACTCTGTGCCCCTGTTAGTTGGTGTAACAAACATATAAAACTTACAAGTAAAATTGACAATGTTAAGGTGCCTGCGAGCGCTGTGAGTGAAAGCAGCTGAGGCCATATACTGAGTGGTAAAGACTAATAAAGCAGACGGTGCCTGAGCCTAAACCTGATAAGAAGGTATAAGAGCAGCTACCTGAAGCAGACTCAGAGCAGTCCTAACAACTGGCTCGGGTAAAAGACTTGCTGGAGGCTACTCTTCCGGAGTCCAGCTCACTGCCTCCCTTTGGACTCAGACTCGCTCTCCAGAGAAACCTCTCCCTGCTCCTGCTCCTAGCTTGCTCCTGGGTTCAGGACAGCAGGAAACCTGCACTTCCAGGCTCTGCTCCCCGCGACCCCAGTGGCCTGCTCCCTGACAGCAGCACAAGGGGCCTATCAGCTCAACACCCTGCACGACCCTCCGCACTGCGGGCCCTTGAGCCTTCCACGGCCTAAGGACTTCCACTTAGGTGGAAGGCTCGGCTAAGACACTTCACAACCACTGTCTTCAGTCAAATGTACTTTGGGAACTTGGGGTTGGCTTGCTTGTATGAACTTAAGTGTGTGTGTGACCAATATAGGAATACAATTCTCTTTGAGAGACAACTTCTGACTGAAGCTTATCTATCACTCTCGTGACACTGTATTGTTTACTAATTGTATTAAAGTTCCTTTCCAGGGTCTCTCTGGTGGCACAGGCGGTTGAGCACAGTGCTGTGAAGCTGTCCGCAGCCTCTGCAGTGCCAGTTCAATCCCCACCGGCCTTGGAACAACCCACACGGCGAACAGACCTCTCCTGTCTCGCCCACTACTCCCTTCAGCAGTGTATTTAGTCAGTCTGCCTGTTCTGTTCCCCACTCTGTCTCTGGTGAATCCTCTCACCCTCCTGCACATATGGACTGTACCCGGTTCTTACATAAATAAAAAATAAAATAAAATAAAGTTCCTTTTCATTAAAATCTCATATGTTTTGTGTTGTTGTGGTGGATGGCAGAACCTATTTAGAGCAGGCAGGTTTGTGGTGTCTGGAGTGCCCCTCTCCGTGCACACCAGATATATTAGAATGTGGATTTGAGGATGATCTTAGGCACCCGAAGTCCACCCAAGTGGAATTGGCCCAGAGCAACGCCCAAAACCTTTCCCAAGTCCAAAGCACCTTTCAGTGGGGACCCACAGGAAAGGATCAGAACCAACCAGATAAGTCTGGGAGGAATAGAACAAAATCAAGACATGATCCGCCATTGTCACCTCCTCACAGTCTCTCACCCACATCTGTGTCACCCAGCCCACGACCAAAAGGCAACCGCAGTTTCTCCACGTGTCTCTAGGCTCCATGTGCCTCCTCCAGGTCTCCTTCTGGCTCCATCCTGCTTCCTTCCTTCCTCCATCCCTTCTGCAGCTTCTTCTTCCTCTCCCAGCTCAGCTCCAACCTCTCTTGGGAGGGCAGGAAACCTGAAACCCCCTTTCCTGGGGACCACCCCACTGCCAGGACACAGTGCTGGGAATGCAGAAGAGCTCCCTTTGTCCTTCCAGGTCAGCACAGCAGGTATTTTAGAATGCGGATTTGAGGATGATCTTAATGGTTGCTGAATACTATTCCATTGTGTACATGTACCACATCTTCTTGATCCAGTCATCTATTTTTTGGATTTGGTTGTGTCCATATCTTCCCTATTGTAAATAGTGCTGCAATAAACATAGGGGTGCAGATACCCCTTTTAATTAATGTTTTTGTGTCCTTTGGGTAGATTCCTAGGAGTGGAATCCCTGGATCATCGTAGGTCCATTTTCAGTATTCTGAGGAATCTCCACACAGCCTTCCACAGTGGCTGGACCAGTTCACATTCTCACCAACAGTGCAAGAGGCTTCCTCTATCTCCACATCCTCTCCAGCATTTGTTGTTTTTGGGTTTTTAATGTGGGCCATTCTCACTGGAATGAAGTGTACCCCATCTTCCTCATCAATTCAAGATCCTCTGATTCAAAACACAATGAGAAACCACTTTACACCTGTGAGAAGGGCCCATATCAAAAAGACCAGATGTAACAAGAGCTGGCAGGACATGGAGACAAGGGAAAAGTCCTGCATTGTTTTGTGGAGTGTAGACTGGTTCAGCCTTGATGGAAAACAGTATCCAGATTTCTTAGAAAATTAGCTGTGGATCTGCCATAGGACCCAACAGTATCTACCCTGTCTCAGACAGCCCATGAGAAGTTCTCAGCAATGAAGGAAGACTTGGAGTCTAAATGAATTAGCAGCAGGGGGAGGCTGGGGAGAGCCCTCTAGAGCAGCTCTGCCTCTCACTCTCCCAGCCCAAGCTCTTGTTAAAGATATGAACAAAGGGATAAGGAAACAGCGTGCAATTGTGTTTATGCTTATACACATGAATAAGTTACTGCAGGAACAAGTTTTTCTAGTTAGTAGGGATCATGACACAAGTTAGCATGTCCTCGGGGAACAGGAGTTAATTTGGGGAAGAAGTTTTGTTTGCAGAATGTCTAACCTCCTGGAACCCCCTGTGCAGAGTAAGCAGGTGCTCTCAGGGACTCCGGCTCCCTTTAGGGCGGCAGGCGCCAGCACACCTGCAGAGGGCGTTACACTACTTCACAGGAAACCTGCACCCACTGATCACTGCAGCACTATTTACAGTAGCCAAACTGTGGGAAGGGTGGTACATAGGTAATAGAATACTACTCATCAAGAAACATAAACTCATGCCATCTGGGGCAACATGGATGGAGCTAATGTAAATAAGCCCAAAGGAGAATGACAAATATGTCACTTAGATATATGGATATAGAAAAATTAAACAAAGGGCTAGATTAAGCCAAACTTTAAAGCTATCCCTTGAGTCTCCCAGGTGGTTTCTGACTACTGGCCCAGGTTTCCTGGCGCAGCAGCACTGGGTGGTGGATAGACCCTCTCTAGTTTGACTTCAAACACATTTGACAACAAAGCCTGACTCCAGCTGACTGAATCCCCCATTGTGTCTTGTTGCACCTGCACCACCTCTGGGTCCCCAGGCTCTGTTCTTTGCTGGGTCCGAGATGGATCATGTAATTGATGCTACATGTTATTTCCTTGTTTGTTTGTTTTTAAGATTCATTTTTACATTTTAAGATTCATTTTACATTTATTTATGTGTACAAGAACTGGGATATAGGCCAGAGGGTGGGAGGATTCACCAGACACAGAGTAGGGAGCAGAACAGGCCGATCCACTGAAATCCACTACTGAGGGGAGTGGTGAGTGAGACAGGAGAGGTCTGCTGCCCCATGTGGGTTGCTCCCTGGCCAGGGTTCAAACTCAGATCTAAGCAGTGATAGACTTAAACCTTATACCACCAGGAGGCCCTGTTTTTAATATATTTTTTACATCTCTTGATACTATTGATAATAGTGTTAGTGCTCCTGCTTCTCTGCTTTCACAATAAACACGTTCCTTCCTCCCAGCCCTTGGCTCAGGTCGGGTTTACACATGTCTTTGTCACCTTTACTCAGTGTCCATAGCTCATGACAGAGCAAGCTCCATGTCTCCAGGGTTCTCTCTCTGCTCTCCATTGTATCTGCAGGGGAGGCAGCTTGGGGAGTCAGGAGCCAGCCAGGGAGAAGGATGCTGGGAAGTGACGAGGAGAAAAGGCAGAGAACACTTGGGACATGCTCCCTGGTTCACTGAGAGAAAAGAATTTCTCAAAGTGTGGTTGTGGACAAACAACTATGAACCAGAGACACTCTATGGGAGGTGGGGGGAGGGGAGGGGAGGGATTGGGGTCAAAATAAGGGGGTTGCAATTGTATGGGGAATATACAAATAAAATTTATTATAAAAAAAAAAAAGTGTGTTTGTGGAATCCTTGAAGTCACCCAGAACCTGTCACAGGATCAATTAGGTCAAAACTATTTTCAAAACATCACTTAGACACCATTGGCTTTTTCACTATTTTGACGTCTGCTGAGGTAAAACTTATTAAAATGGAGCTTATATTACTAACTGCAATAGTAGTTATTATTCACAACTACTTACCTCAGAAACACAACTCCAAGCCAGTTTCATTTCAAAGTGTCTTGGTTGAGCATTAAACATTATCTTCATTATTCTGTCATCCTCAAATCCACATTTTACAGCACCTGATGCGATGACACACAAGTACAAATGCAACACTCCTGCTGTGTTCCCATCTAAGAAATATGTGCCAAGAAAAATATTTGCATGAGATGAATTAGACTATTTTTCTTTTTTTGTAGGCAATACCATCTTCATAAGAAGGAATGAATGACAGAATCTGTGGCTATTTGATTTGCTTAATTAGCAGACATTGTCCTGAAAATGAGTGTGTGCTCCTTTGAGAAATCAACTGACAACTGATAACTGAGAATAACTTCACCTTGACCAAATATAAGTGCTCAGAAAAAAACAGAATTATGGAATATTGTGTCCTATCACTAATTTGACAACTTCCAGTACTACTTTTAATTTTTGGATTTGTGGTGAAAAATAAAATAAATTTTTAAAAATAATTTGACTCTGGTGTAATGAACACTGAATAGTCTTATAAATTAGTGGAACAATATATTACTTTAAAAAAATCACACATTAGCACAAGATCCCATCACTATGTAAGAGAGGACTATGGAAATGTAACAGAATAAGAAATATTCAATGAGGGCCTCGCTGATGGCGCAGCTGTTGAGCGCTGGGCTGCGGAGCTGTCTGCAGCTTCTGCAGGGCTGGTTTGATCCCCAGCCGGCGGGCAAGGGTCCCATATGGGGCGCAGACCTCTCCTGCCACCCCCGCTGCTCCCCTCAGCAGTGTATTTCATCAATCTGCCTGTTCTGCTTCCCACTCTGGTTCTGGTGGATTCTCTCACCCTCCCGCACTTCTGACTGTACCCAGTGCTTTTATAAAAATAAATAAAGCTTAAAATAAATATTAAAAAAAGAAATATTCAATGATATTCTTTCAGGTTTCACTTTGTAAATAAACTTGGAGAAAATACCACCTGTATAGATTTAATTTAGTATTATTATTATAATAATAATTATTATATATCATTACTATATATCATTATATATAATAATTAGTAGTATTAGTATTATAATTTAATTTAGAATTATTATTTTCACAATAATGTGAAAACACTACTTCAACATATGTGTGAGGCTGTATACATTTTTTTCATAGTCTTCAACCAGAACCACAGCTAAATGCAGAAGGAAGCATGAAAATCCTACTGTCTTCTAATGAGACAGACAAGAAAAACAATGACACAGACAAGAAAGACAATTGCAAACATAAAAAACGTGAAAGGTCCACTCTTTGGAGTGGATGGAAATGTATTATGGAATGTATTATGGATTATGGATTTCCATAATATCGTTCCAAATAATCATTGCCCTGATTATTTTCAGAAAGAAGTTATTTTTCTTAAGAACACTTTCTATTAACAGGCATTGGATTATTACTATTATTCTAAATAAACAGCTACGTGATCAAACTCAGCTTTATTCCCAGTGTGGCAAATATGGGGAGCGATACCTCCTAAACAAGATTATACTTGGCGTCCTCCCTAATTTGTAAGACTGGTCACGGATCGCAGACCCAGTGCCTGGGTCATGGAGACAGGGTGAGGAAGCTTTGGGTGAGGAGAGGAGGGGCCAGAGCAAAGCCTCAGGTCCCTAGTCTGGTTCTCATAGTTCCAGGCCCCAGGGCTGTGTCTAGGGCAGGAAGGTTACTGTTGGGGATACCCCACTGCCCCCTTAGCCTCCCTTCTGTCTCCACCACCTGTGCTGGGCCCTGGACACTTGTGACTCCTCCCCAGTTCTCAGTCCCCAGTGCCTGGAGGTTCCCAGAGAACCAGTCAGCATCACTGCCTGCCCAGGTAAGTCTCCACCCACCAGCCTAGGGTCAGAAGCTCCCCAGACCCCAGCAGTGCTGGTCATGGGGCCCCCAACCCTCCTCCTGCTGCTTCTCTCCAGGGCTCTGGCCCAGACAGACACCTGGGCTGGTGAGTGCAGGGTGGAGGGAAAAGGCTTCTGCAGAGGAAGCTGCTGCCTTAGGCCCCTCTGTCACCCCCGTGGCCCCCTCAGTCCTGGTTCCTTTCTGTCCCCCCACCTGCCTCCTCCTTTTGTCCCCTGAGTCTTGCCCCTTCTGGACCCGCTGCCCATGTTCAGTCTCTGGAGCTCCCTCCCTCCTGGACACTTTCTCCCCTGCCCCATCTCCCCGGAACTCAGGACCTGCCCAGGGGGGAGGGTCCGCCCGGCTCTCACCCCTCCCCGCCCCCAGGCTCCCCCTCTCTGAGGCTTTTAGAAATGGTGATGTCCCGCCCGCCCTCGGGGAGCCCCGGTACATCGCGGGGGGCTACGTGGACGACCCGCAGTTCGGGGTTCGACGGCGACTCCCCTGGCCAGAGCGCGGAGCCGCGGGCCCCTGGGCGGGCGGGCGGGGCGGGAGGGTCGGGCGAGGAGACGCGGCTCCGCAGACACTCGGCGTGGAGGCTCCAAGCGCTCCTGGAGGCCCCGCGCGGCCGCCGCAGCCAGAGCCGGGCCGGGGAGCAGCGCGGGCCGGGGCGGGTCACCGCTCCCGCCCCACCCCCCGCCCCGAGTCTCGGGGCCCCGTGACCCCCGAGGTCGTGGCCCCTGCCAGGCCCCTTGACCAGGGAGGAGCCCGCGGGACTTTAACCCGCGAGATTTTAAGTTTACATTTATTCTGGGCTGGAGGTAGGGGTGCGGGTGGGGTGACCAGGGGACAGACCTCAGGGCCGGGCTCAGGGTCTCCCACGATCCAGAGGACTCTGGGCTGCGCCGCGGGGCCCGAGGGCGCCTCCCCCGCGGGCACGACCAGCTCCCCACGACGGCGCCGGGGACGCGCCCTGGGCGGGGACCTGCGCGCCTGGACCCGGCGGGCCCGCGGCTCAGCTCCCCGGCGCGAGGGGGAGGGGGAAGGTCGGGCAGAGCAGGACGGGAGCAGCCTGGGGGGCGGGTGCGTGGAGGGGCCCCCAGACTCCTGGGGATGGGGAAGGAGGCGCCGCAGCTCAGAGGAGAGAGGGCTGCGGGGCTTTGATCTCCCTGAGGCGCGCAGCCCGCAGGGAAATGGAATCATGGTGAGGAAGCGCCCCCTTCTGGCCAGAGAGGGAGCTGTCGGCCACGTTTTCCAGCTCTGGGATGGAGACTGGCCTGGAGGCTCCTACTTTTTCTGTAGGACAGTTAAGGAATCCAGTTTCTCCTGAGAAAGAGGGGAGACCATCCCTGAAATCACCCTGCACAGGACCCTTTTCACCAGCAGCCATCTTAGGAGCAACGAGTTTCTCTCTCGAGATCTTGTTTTTTGGTCAGAGAGCATTTTTGGAGATCTCACTCCTGCCTGTCTGTGTCATCACCCTCCACCCAAGTCAGCAACAAAATGCTTAGAGACCTGCATCCCACCCTGGGCTCTCACCTGCTCTCCCGGACTCCCAGACCAGGCTGGTTTCTGGGGTTTGTGCTTCCTCCCTCCAAGCATGTTGTCCTGTGCAGTCTGAGGATGGTCATGAGGCTGCTTCAGTGTCCATGGAGGAAACAAAAAGCATGAAATTTCTGTTTCTTCCCACTCAGGCTCACAAAGGGCACAGGTGACCCACCACCCCATCTCTCAGCATGAGGTCACCCTGAGGTGCTGGTCCCTGGGCTTCTACCCAGGGGACATCACCCTGACCTGGCAGTGAGATGGGGAAGACCTGGTCTCCACCTGACACAGAGCTGGTGGAGACCAGGCCTGGGGCCGGGTTGAGGGGTTGGGGGGAGCAGAATCTTCCAGAAGTGGGCGGCTATGGAGGTGCCTTCTGGAGAGGAGCAGAGATACACATGTCATGTGCAGCATGAGGGGCTGCTGGACCCCCGAGTCCTGAGATGGGGTGAGAGGGGGGACATGGGCACAGAGCCTATTCTCAAGGGAACCAGGAGCCCTTCTAGAGACTTTCAAAGGGTCAGACTGAGGCCTGGAGTTCAGGGTCTTCCCTTCCCTTTCCTTCCTTTTCCTTCCCTTCCCTTCCCTTCCCTTCCCTTCCCTTCCCTTCCCTTCCCGTGCCCCCTGAGTCCTCCATCCCCACCACGGGCATCATTGCTGGCCTGGTTCTCCTTGGAGCTCTGCTCACTGGAGCTGCGGTGACTGCAGTTGTGATGTGGAGGAAAAAGCGCTCAGGTAGGGAATGGAGTTGGGGATCTTGTCCACTGGGGACTTTCAAGTCCCAGGGAGAACTTGCCCTACCTGGTTAATGGAAGTACCATCCACACACCTGTTGCCCAATCTGGAGCTGATTGCTAACACTTAGTCTTTGTAAAGCACATGTGAAAGTGAATCAACTTGTTCTCATTGCTAGTTCTTGTTATAGGGACCTGATTCCCAGAAAATATCAGAGGGCAAGTTTCTTGCATGGGACAGACTCCAGGAGGCAGTAAGCCCAGTCTCCCTTAATCTCCTTTTGTCATATTTCCCAGTCCTGACCTGGGTCTTCATTCACAGTTCTGGAAATGTCCCTGTGGTCTAGATTAGGGGATTCCTTTAAGACTTCAAGGCCTGGCCCCTCCATGGTCTCACATGATATTTTATTCCCACAGGTTGGAAAGGAGGAAGCTACTCCCAGACTGGGGGTAAATGGATCAGGTTTATGATTACTCAGACCCTTGGGATAGTGTAGATGGAGCCCACAGGATAAGCTGACCCATCAGTTCCTCCTACATTCTCATCTCCTGTGGACCCTGACCTGGTTCTGTTTTGTTATAACTCAGGCATGACAGTGCCCAGGGCCTTGTTGTGCCTCATAGCATAGGTGAGACCCTGGAGGCCTGCAGTGGAGGGGCTAGGGCAAAGAGGATGGGGCCAGGTTATGGGGAAGCTGTGAGGGGGACATTCTGAGGATGCAGTGGACTATTGAGAATGTCAACACGGGCCTCCCTTGGTGGTGCAGCACCGGTTCAATCCCCGGCCACTGGCGAATGTCCCACATGGTGCGACAGACCTCTCCTGCCACGCCCGCTGCACCCCCTCAGCAGTGTATTTCGTCACTCTGCCTATTCTGTTCCCTTCTCTGGCTCTGGTGAATTCTCTCACCCTCCCACATTTCTGACTGTACCCAGTGCTTGTATGAATAAATAAATAAATCTTTAAAAAAAAAAAAAAGAGAATATCAACACTTTTGTGCCTCACCTGAATGTGTTCCTGACAATTTTTCCTTTACAGTGTGGCATAGCTACCTTGCATGGACTAAGAGATGCAGATTTCTTCTGATCCCCATTTTGTGACCTCAGTATCCCCTAGTTAATCCACAATGAGATACAACTTCATACCTACGAGAATGGCCCATAACAAAAAGACCAGAAACAGGATGTGGAGAAAAAGGGGAAAGTTCTACACTGTTGGTGGGAATGCACACTGGTCCAGCTCCGATGGAAAAGGAAATGGCAGTTTCTCAAATATTAAAAATGGGGCCTCCCTGTTGATCTAGGGGTTAAGTCTCAGTACTGTCACTGCTGTGGCCTGAGTTCAATCCCTGGCCAGGGAGATAACCGACATGGTGCAGACCTCTCCTGTCTCGCCCACTGCTCCCCTCAGCAGTGTATTTCAGTAGATCCACCTGTTCTGCTCCCCACTCTCTCTGGTGAAGACTTTCACCCCTGCACCTCTGACCTACACCCCAGTTCTTCTATGTAAAAAAAAAAATTAAATGAAAAAAGTTTAAAAAAAAAGATTAAAAATGTATCTGCCATGTGATCCAGCAATTCTACTCCTTAGCATCTACTTCCAGAATATAAAAAGACTAATTTAAAGGGAGACATGCACTCCATGTTGATTGCAGCACTATTGTCAGTAGCCAAGTTGTGGAAACAACTCAAATTCCCCAAAACAGATAATATATCAAGGAGATATGGTCTGTCTACACTGTGGAATACTACTCAGTGTTCAAAGAAGATAAACTCAGGGCCTCCCTGGTGGCACAAGGTGTTAAGCACTGCACTATATGAAGCAATCCACAGCTTCTGCAGCACGAATTCGATCTCTGGCCGGCAATGGAGCAACCCACATGGCACAGCAGACATCTCCTGTCTTGCCCGCTGCTCCTCTCAGCAGTGTATTTTCTTCAGGCCAAACATGGAGCTGGAAGGGATTATGCTAAGCAAACTAAGTCTGAGGGAGAAAAACAAAACTACTTGTATCACTTCTATGCGGAATATAGAGAAACCAAACAAAAGTTCAGATAAAGTCAAACTAAAAAACTAACTCTTGAAATCTGACTAGAACTGCAGCTACCAGAGGGGAAGTGGGAAGAGCAAGAACAAAGTGTGGAGGAGCACAGTGGTGGATTATTGGGAATTGGGTGTGGTGGGTGTGGTGTATTAAAAACACCTGAAGGGGCTCATCTTACACTTCCAACAATGATGTAAACCAACTTATATATATATATATATATATATATATATATATATATATATATATATCTTCTGGGTTCTCTGGCTGCAAAGTGCATCTACATGTGTCTGTGCTCATATCAGCATAACGTGAGGAGGTGGGGAGACTGGCCTAGCCCTGTCACCAGGCCCCTCCCCACACTGACCTGTGTCTCTCCCTGATGACTTTCCTGCTCCAGCAGAGGCGGGGCTGACTCCACCCTGCCTGTACTTTGTGTTTTCCTGAGAACAATGTCTACTTCCCTGCTGAGAATAACCATCCACATATGAAATTATTTTTTTACCTTATCACATGGGGTTGATGGGTTAATTAGAAAGATTTGAGAGGAAATAAAGAGTCCTGAGGACCAGCCACAACTGCAGGTTTGCTGTGCTGAGTCTGTGCAGGTGGGGGCGGGAGAGGCTGTGAGAAGCCGAGGGGGACGGGGCCTGTGTCCAGTCGGTGCTCAGTGCGTCATGGGCTTCGATGTCGTCACTCCTCAGGGGTCATCTCTCTGCTCCTTTGTCCTTGTCCTTCAGGAGCACCTGTCCCAGCGGGGCCTGTGTAAGGGCCGGACAGGACACTATGCAGGTTTTCTGATCCCATGCAGACCGGGTAAAGGAGGAGTCAGAGTCCTCAGTAGTTTTTTGCAGGTTTTTTATTTGGGGTTCACCAGGCATATGGCAGGCAGGGGTGCTGGCTGGGAGGCTGGCAGGCCTCCCAGCCCCCAGCAAGTCTTCACTCTATCTGAGCTCTCTGGAGTTTGTTCTGCTGCTTCTCGGCTTCTGCTTCGGCTTCTACTGGTGCTGCTGCTGCTATTGCTGCTGCTGCTGCTGCTCCTGCTCCTGCAGCTGCTGCTAGTGCTGCTGGCGTCCCCCCGTGATGCCGCCCTTAAAAAAGCACAGTCTTAGCTCAGCTGAATCCCATCTACCTATGCCCACACCCTATTCCAGGTGCCCGCCATCAGGCATGCATTCAGGACAAGGATCCATCATCTATCCTGATGGCAGAAGGGCAGAAAAGCCTGATATTTTCTTTACCCTACAGCCTGTGATCACAGAGACTCAGACATCACCTGGGCCTGTCCTGTCTCCAGAAATGTGGGTGGAGTTTGCATGAAGCCTAGTCAGCCTAGGCTCAGGTCAGAGTTCATTCCCTAGTCCTCATACTCTGTGTTTATGATTTTACTTCCTGGGTTTTATTGCTTTATGCCTGTTCTTTTTCATGTTTATAGACCAGGGGTTATGTCCTCTGGGCATCCCTGTCTAACAGCAGCAGGAGCATCTGTCATTGTCCCCATATGGCTCAGGGCGGCCCCTGCTCACAGGAGTATCTGGTGTTAGAAATTAATGTCCAGACTCAAATAGTTTTGGGACTGTTTTTTTTTTTTTTAAGATTTATTTATTTATGAA